TGAAGTCTAGGAAAACTATATCCACTGCCACCCCTGCATCCAATGATTTAGTGACCTGGTCGTAAAAGGCCACCAGGTTGGTCTGACAGGACCTGCCGCTGATGAACCCGTGCTGGTTGCCCCTGAGCATGCAGTTCCCTGCTGGCCCCTCCTGGATGTGTGCCAAAATAATTTTCTTGAACAGCTTGCCCAGGATCGAGGTAAGACTGACTGGCCTGTAGTTCCCCGGGTCCTCTTTCCTTCCCTTTTTGAAGATGGGAACCACATTGGCCCTCTTCCAGTCCTCCGGCACCTCTCCAGAGCACCACGAGTGTTCATAAAGCCGTGCCAGGGGACTTGCAATGACCCCAGCCAGTTCCTTTAGGACTCTAGGGTCTTGTTTTTGAACTCTTGTTTTTGAATATTTCAGCATCTGAATGGCAAAGGTTCAAAATAAAGATCTTAAAGACAGGAAGGATTCCCACGAATATTGCATTTATAAAACAGAAAGCAGGGTAGATTTGTATGAGAGAGAGAGTGAGGGCAAGGGCACGCGTGAGTGAGACAGAGCGAGCAAGGGCACGCGAGTGAGACACAGAGCACAAGAGCTTTCGTGAGCTGTAGCTCACTTTATCGGATGCTGGGAGTGGCTGTGTTCACCCCTTCGCTGTAAGAAGTTTAAGATGTTGCCCAACAGCTTTTCCAGTGCCTGTATCTTACCAGACATGCTCTTTAAGGACTTAGCAGATTTTGCCTTAAGCATTGGAGGGGCCTGGAAACTTGGATGGATCATCAGTGACCGACCTCCTGTCCCCATGCCACTTCCTAGTGATGGCAGTCTCCCAGAAGGCTCTGAGGCACAGCACTCACTGAAAAAGCAAGGAACAGAGCTTGGCAAGACAGCTTTCACTTTCCACCAAGCAGTGTGTTGTTCCAGGACTAAGAGCTGTTTCAGCGTACACCCTAGAAGATGTGGGCACAACCCAAATCTTCCATACAGTTCTGCTCACAGTAGGATGCATGTGCTTTAGAGGGGAAATGTTGCATCAAGTTTGACCTTTTTGAAATTTCAAGAAACTCCCCTGATTTGGATTGGGCTGCCCCATATTTTTCAAAGAAAATATTAAACAAGTCAGAAATAGTGTCAGGCTATTAAGCATGCCCAGAATATCAATGCCACTGCTATCTGATATGAAGAATAGCATTGTCCCATGGGACAAAATTAGAGAACTGACAGCTTTATTTGCAGAAATGGAGAGTTTCCACTGGCTGGAAGTGACTTACCGTCAATCCTGAACAAAGTACCCACGTCTCTATTTGTTAACTCCTTCTCATCCCATAGGCTTCTCAATTCTCAGCTATGTGAAAAACTTTTAGAGCAGCTCTTCAGCAATCTTATTCTATAGGCTTGTTCACTTCATGGAACTACCATCTTGGGTCAGTCAAAGCAGGAACCTTGTAATCTTGGTCTTCTAGGAAGAGACCAGCCAACTACTTAGTTTGGCCAGGAGAGCCCTGGATCTGAAGGTTGCAAGGCTGGCATTACTGTGAAAGCAAGTGTGTCTGAGTGTGCAGGTGAGCAGGTGTGTGTGGGGGGAGCAGGTAGGTAGATGGGTGAGCACTTGTGAATCACATCATGCATGTAGGAAGCTGGAGAATGAAGGAGCACATGTATGAGGAAGGGGTGGGAAGTCAGATATATATTTAGAGGAGTGCCATGCAAGTATTTGGAGAACTGTGTTGCTTTGTGCAGCTACATCTCCCAGTGACCTACCAGCCCGCTACTGGCTGCCTCTTCTTCAGTTTGCAGGCAGCCTTTTTCAGCCCCAAACCCTCCAGTGGC